AGGGAGATGTCGCTAGCGTCAGCTGAGTGAATGCCGTCGTTTCGGTCCCAGTCTTAGCTTCAGTCCCCAGGCAGTACATTGCTGCCGCTTACTCATCTCCGCAGGTGAAACATGAGTGAGAGAGAGAGAGAGAGTGGATGCCAGCAAACAACTGTATCCGCTAGGTCACTTTGGCTCCAGCGGCTGCTCGCCCTCGAGGGTTTTGCAGAAGCGTGCATTCAGCCTTCTCTTTCCAGCAAACACGAACCTCCAGCTGATCGCCAACCGCACAAGCGAGCTGCGAGCTGCTCGTACTCCCGCCGCTCCTCCGCAGTAGAATGACTTTGCAGGCGGTGATGGTGGCACGGGCGGTCCTGCTGGCTGACCGAAGGTTGGACGCGGCTCCTGGCCTTCCACAACAGGTCGGCCGTCACCTGTCCATGCTCGGAGCATCGCCAGCATCGCATAACGACCTCCAAAGTCCTAAAGCCAGTCCTGCACACCGGCAGCAGCAGCGAGAGACTTCTCCTTGGCAAACATGCCAAGCTCTTGAATGAATGCGGCCACTCATTTTTTCCCGGGAGCTCCTGTGTCTTGGGATCTCCCGCAGCAGAGTCATTGCCGCTCGCGGAGATCCTGTCAAGAACCAGTCTCGAGTCACCATCCGCTCCCGGAGGCCTTGCAATTTAGACCCAGTTAACCGAAAGAGCTTCCCCTTCCGCACATGAAAATCTGCGTGCCATCGTGTTTACAAGACTGCGACGGAATAGCTGCTTCTGACAGAGAGCTTCGCACTTCCAAAACCGACGCTTCGAGGCCTGGTCGCAGCAGCAGCCGCATCCCGGATTGCTAGCATCGCAGCCTGAACCGAAACATACAGGCAGGCAACACTGCAGCACCTCTTGCAGCAAAGCGAGTTTCCCCAAGAAGCGAACTTCACGGGCCAAGGACGCCAGGTCAGCGCCACTGAAGCCATCAGCGTCCTCTGCCACTCTTTGCAGATCCTGAGCCGGTCCTAGTCTCGTGTTGCTCTTGCGCTGTTGGGACTGTGAGAAGCTGAGCAGACCGCCACATCGGCGGCCAACGGCAGCCTCGGAGGGAAAGCCAGCTCGACTGGCCACGAGTCCAGCAGCTGAGCTTGCACGTTCCGGGTCTCATGCTTCCTCATGTGCGTCTGGAGGATTTCTAACCGACCGACCTGCTTGTAGCTGCTTGCAAAGGCGCATCATGGTGCATCCAGCTCTTCGTCTTCACCTGTATATGTAAGGGCCATGCGGCAGACGGGAAAGGCACGTAAAGAAGTCGGTCTAAACGGCCTGCAGATTGCCATGCATACGATGCCTTCTCTTGAAGACACAGGTCTACCTGGTCGCAGCATTGCGGGATCCACGATGTCCGGCCGATTCGTGGCAGCGATGACATAAACCTTTCTGCAGCAATTGCTCTGCTTTTTCAGACAAATGCTCTTCGTGCTTTGAGTGCCTGCGAGCGCGACTGCACGCCGTCCATTTCGGTGAGCATCTGGTTCACGACCTAGTCTAAGGCTATGACTTGGATTCTGTCAGGATGCGTGTGCACAGAATGGAAGGGATGCGGTTGCTGACTCTGGCGCAGACAAGCCTTTGGCGCTGCCAGAGGCTTGCATGCACATCGAGGGCAGAACGCGTTCTGACGAGCCGGTGCCCTCGGCAGACCTGTGGACGGGGCCATTGCACATGAAATCGTTAATTTGGAAATATCGGTCACGAGCATAGACGAACCCTTTACTCATCCTTTACTCAATCTCATGCGCTCGCCTCCTCGGCACCAGCGCATCGAGCTCGTCGAAGAAAATGACACCTTCGGTGACTGAAGATATCTCACTCCCTGTGCCACAGCTGCATCAATTGGAACAGCAGCATTTCAGCTGCCCGCACGGAGAAGAGCTTCTGGCTCGCTGGAACACAAGCCGAACAGCTCGCTCCGACCTGAGACATGTGTCTGCACCCGGGCAGATTGATATCACGGCTTATCGGGATAGCTTCACTGGTGCCTACTGAAGCTGGCTCCACTCACGTCCCTCCTATTCCGCGCGTTCAGGGTCTTCAAGCACCATGCAGAACCACCCCAGACTGTGACTCTCTGTTCCATGCTGTCCAATCTGTCCATCACCCTGTCTGAGCAGTAGGCTCACCCACATACTTGTTCAGCAACTCCGGCCCCTGTGTGAACAGAGGTAGTTTCAGCCTGTGTTTAGATTTTGCTTTGGGGTTCTAGTTCGGTTATGAGCATGCCAGCCTGGCCCTGACGAAGCCAGAAGCATGTCGGACTATCCAGAAGCCGAGGAATGGAAACTGGAAATACCCGCACAAAACGAGCTACATGTAGAAGCTCTGCACATGGCCAAGCTGAGACCGATCTAGACGAGAGAGATTACTGACTGTGAATGAGCTGGCGCTGTCCAAGGCTGCTGAACGGAACGAGAATGGTATAAGTGAGCTGACAGGAATCAGCTGTGCAGTGTCCTTCACGGCAATGAAGTTGGCACCACTCTGATTGGCAGTTGCCTGAAGCGCATCGACCAGAACACGGGCATGGTGCGATAGACGCTGCAAGCTTGAACGGCCTTTGCAAGCAGGGTTTTGCCACAACCAGGCGGCCCAAAAAGAAGCACGCCCACTGGAACAGTGAGACCTTTGTTGAAATCTCAAGCCACCAGGGTGGCATGCTTCGGCTTCACCGCTAGTGCTGCTTTCACCTTGACCTTGCAGAACCGCTCTTTTCAACTGCTCCAACTCTCGTCCCAGTGTCATTTTGACCGCTGCATTCAACGCGGGATTGCTTTTCACAGCCCGCAAGAGAGAAAGAGGGAAGGAGGGAGACAGAGAGGCGGAGAGAGAGAAAGAGAGAAGCAAAAGACAAGCTCCGGCTAGGCAGGTCGTCCTGTCGCCCAAGCTGGCGCAGGATGCGTGGCAACCGCGTAGGCTGGCGAAAACTGCGGCTTGGCAGGCGCCCCCGCCCACTGCGCAACTGGAGCTTCGACTCTGTAGGTAAAACCCTGTGGCGCTGTGTAAGTGATGCACCCAGGAGACACAACTTGTGCGGGCAAGGCTGCAACTGGCATCAGTCCCGTCTGGGGTGTGATTTCTCTTTTCAACACCGCCTGGTACTGTGGCTGAGATGGTTGAGCAACGGCGACGGGAATTTGCCTCACGCCGGCACCAGAAACAGCACCAGGAACGGCTTCTGGCTGCAGACCAGCTGTGGTTGGAGCAGCCACTGGCATCGCGGGAGCGTGGTTTTGAAGACCTTGCTCCCCGTTTTGTGGAGTTTCGGAAGCAGGTGTCGTGGGTGAGCTCGGCACGTCTTCCTGTTTCTGACGGAAGTATTTTTCAAGGTCCTTAGCTGAAGCGATTCAAAACAAATAGTCTCGGTCCAGAATGCTCTTTGATATTCTCGGCGTGCTCTCGTGCTCTGGGCTTTCTGGTCTTCTGGATTGTTCTAGGTCGTCTCGTCAGCTTAACTATGCTGAGCACGCTGTTCCTAAGTGCAGCACATTGACCTGTGAAGGCTGACCATTCTGAGTGAAGTATTTCTTCAAATACTTCGATAGTCACTTCGACACCACGACACCAGACAAATGAAACCTCCTACACTGTATGTTTTTCTTCGCGTTTGCGCAAGGTTGAAGAAAGAACACCTTCCAGGCTTGGAGTCTAAACTTCTGACAAGCTGCTGGTGCTGCCATTTTCACCTCAGCGCACCACTCCAAGAGACCCGACTTGGAGACGTCGACAATTCGCGGACAACACGAGGATGCCAGAATCCACAGTGTTATGGGTCGCACAAACTTGGGGTATGGGCTGTGAAACGTAGGACTGAGGAGTCAGGAGGCTACGCCGGAAAACACGACGTGCAAGACAGACCCGGCTTTGGCACAGGATCGGATTCTCATCGGAATCCTGCATCCATCTTGACATGTCGTGTGTGCCAGGGCGGATGCAGATATGTGCACTGTATTTACGAGCAGACAAGGAAACTCAAATGCTCCGAGGTAGCCTTGGTTGTGTTCATTCCTTGTTTGCTCGGAGATGTCTGTTTAAACTTGTTACTTGTTTCCACCCCAGATCAAGATCTGCATGTATCTGTTCCGGCCAGAAACTCAAAGCAAAATCACCTGTTCAACTTGGAAACCAACTTGCAAACTGCATCACCCCAAACTGCGCACCTTTGCAGCCGTGCAGGAAAGGTGCTGTTTTCACTCTGTTTTCGTACTCCACGGAGACCTCCTGTCGCTGCAGGTCTACGCGAGAGATCTCGCCAGCGCTCCATCGACCAGCCTGTACATCGAACGGGGCGAACCATGCAGAACTGATCGAGCGACATTGCCATCCGATTTTTTCATGTGCCGAGCATGGGTGCGATCGAAGCCACATCAGATCGAACTCACTTGCTCGAAACACGTTGGTTTAAACTCAAACTCGGCTGCATGTAGTAAAGCCTGGCATGGCGACAGCTGCAATATTGTTGCATCATGCAGCCGAATGATGAAAGGATGTTAGCATCGAAGATTCCTGGCATTGTTCAGCAATCCTTCGCAAGCTGCACAGCACAGATTTAACGTCGTTTTGCACATTTGTTGGTCTTGAAATAAGTTACCATTCCCGGTACAACACTCGCGATACCTTTGACTGGTTCGTCAACCAGGACAAGCAGGATGTAAAAAAGCTGAGCACCAACAGGCACGACAAACTGTCAACATCGGAATCAGGGTTTTCATAAATTGATACTCTGAAAGCCAGAGCTGGGGTCTGCGGTGGTTGTCAAGTTTCACGACTTCAGAAACGAGTCACAACAGCTGCTCCTAATGTTTCTAGCACTGGTATAATAAAGAACTTGACATCCTAATCGGGGATAGGAACCTTGATATTCAAAAATCCAATATCCTAAGCTCTGATACCCTAAACCTGCCTCCTCTGCTGGCACAGGATAACTGCCATAGCAGATTTTCACCCAAGCTTCAGCAGCAATATAATAAGCTGTTGTCGAACACAACCAAACATTGAACTAGATAGCATCCTCGTTCCTCTTGCAGCACAATGGGGACTTGGGTCTTCAGGAGGCATAAGAATCGGCAAGCACTGGTGCCGCCGTGGCACGCTTTGTGAGTACACCTCCACCCCCGATCCCAGTCTCACACCAGACAAGCTTGGACTATCCAGTGCTTCCCATGGCCGGAAGAAGTCCTTGGGTGCAAAACCATGGTGCAAAAGACCATCGGCTGGGCGGCTAGAAAGGCATGATGCGGAAGAGCTGCTGCAACGTTGTGCGACCTGAGATTTACCACCTTCCGATGCTCGCCTCAGCTCTCATGGTGTGGGACTGGCCCAAAACGCCTGAATTCCCTTCGCCCCGAACTTGGGCTGCAAGTCTGCCTTTTTTGCTATGGCCGTGAGCGCTG